ACCTATGTCGACTCTGGTCATGCGTCAGTACGCTGTCGTTTCTTCATGAACTTTACCGGGAGGTGCACCAAGCCTCTCCTCCAATTGGCAACTGCGCAATTGTCTCAGCCGTCGGTCAGGCAAGCCTATCAAGACGCACTGCATACCGAACTTTCGTTGTCTTGTCCTAATGACACCGAGCTTCAGTGGAATAAGATCTCGTTTGTCATGCACGACGCAAGAGCATCTGGTTGTGGCACTATCCATCGTCACCGCACTAGTCACTGGATATCCGAGAGGTCGGTGAACTTGTTGGAATCTAGAAGACACCTCGCGGCTGGCTCTGAACACAATGTGACCAGACGGGCTATTAGGCGTGAACTAAAGCGAAGCGTACGTGCTGACAAGGAAGCCTCGGGGACCAGTCGGGCTCAAGTAATGGAGGAGGCAGGAGCAGTAGGCAACTACCGGAAGCTCTTCCGGGTAATCCGCAACACTGTTCCCAGAAAACCAGTCGTCATTAAGACAATCAGAGGCAGCGCAGATGCACTGAATCACAATAAGGAGCACCGTATGGCTCGTTGGGCGGAACACTTTCAAAATCAGTTCACCCGGCCCCCTGCTCCCGGACCTCTTCCTACTCAGTTGATGCTGGACGAGTCATAGACAGTTAGTTTATTGTCTCCGTCGGAGGTCGAAGTCCGAAACGCGATCACAGCCATCAATCGTTTTCGTGCTGCTGGCTCGGATTCCGTTCCACCTGCACTATTTAAGGATGGAGATGAAGCCCTCTGCAAATCAGTGGCCTCCGTATGCAAACGTATCTAGAAGGAAGAGAGTATCCCGGCTGATTGGAACGAATCGATTATAGTGGCAATATACAAAAAGGGCAGTGGTACAGACAGGGGTATTAACCTAACGCCAGTTGTGACAAAATTATTGGCCTCGATTATCGTTCGTCGCATCACTGCAGAACGGGGATCTCGGATTAGGGAAGATCAGGCCGGTTTCCGCCCAGGATGTGGCTGTATAAACCCTATGTTCACTTTGCGGTAGGTGCTAGAGCAGCGCCACGCATACCGCAGACCGGCAATAGCTGTGTTTGATTTTGAGAGTGCGTTCGATTCAGTCGATCGATCGATTCTGTTCGAAATACTTGCGCGGAAAGGTGTTCCCACGATATATGTGAACATCCTACGTGCTGTATACCCGAACACTACAGGCCGCGTCAGGGTCTACGATGTCCTATCGATTAGCTTTCCGACCACATTGGCGTTCACCAGGGTCGTCCGATTTCCCCATTTTTCAATTTTGTTGTGGATTCTATCATGGAGTGTTCCCTTGGGGCATCTCACGATGTAGGCCTTGAAGTGCTGCCTGGTGAAAGGTTAGTTGATACGCACAAACCTTTCAAGTCATAAAACTCGGTCGAATATCTTCTTAGTGAGATTCACTGATCTGTGAAACAAACTACCCCTACAGATACGCATGTGTACAAGCGATGTCACATTTCGCAATTTCTTTCAGACGTTCCTCACTATACCAAATGTCAGAGCAGTGAGAAGACATAAGTTGCGATATGTTAACAGTTCGATTGTTCTCTTCAGTCGCAAACACAATACAAGTGGGACTAATGAACAGTTATATACAGGGGGAAAAAGTTGGCACACCAATCAAAATGTAAAAATCAAGACCACGGTAACCTAATTGAATGTCTCAATAGTTTCTGTGCACACAACACAGGTTGATAAGCCTTAATTAGCAAAGCCTCGCTAATTGCCAAGATAATCGGATTGTTGTTGCGCAATAACACCTTGAACGCAGTATCCGGGTTCACCTGATGTCGGGTTGCCAAGAGATGCTTGGTGATAGATGATGCGGGACTCCTGTTCCTCCTCGGATTCACTCCGTCTTGTTGCGTCATCAGTTGCTCCAACCACCTCGGTACATGTTCAGCTACCCTCTGAGCTAACTGACGGTCAGTCCTGCCTATGTAAATGTCACCGCAACCGCAAGTGAACTGGTAAACGACGTGAGAGGCCGAACTGACTGATGAGTTGCTCTGACGGTCATGAAGAACAAGGCTTCGTGTTGTATGTATGAGTCGCAACTGAGCGGTCGCGTAGGTGCGCGTAAGGGCGGACCGGAGTTTATGTCCGATATCATTCGATACGTGGTCTCCTTTGAACGGCAAGAACAAGTAAACATTCTTTTTCTCCGCGGTTAACACCGGTATTTTCTCCTTGGGAGACCTGCTGTGGATCTGAATGAACTTCTCAGGATACCCATTTGACACCAAGGTTTTGAACAAAAAGTCTTCTTCAGCTTGCAACATTTCGGGGCTGCATATCCGTCTTGCTCTGTAGAAAAGCGTTTTCACTAGACCACGTTTGTATGCGACCGGGGCAAAGCTGGAAAAGTGGAGGTACTGCCCGCTCCAAGTGGCCTTGCAATGAACCGTGCGCTGTAGTGTACCATCGGTCCGTCTCTTAATGAGTACGTCCAAAAATGGCAGACTACTTTGTTGCTCCAACTCATGGGACACCGATAGATTCGGATGAATTGAATTCAGAACTGTCAATAGCCGCGCAAAATGTTCGTTGCTGGTGAAGACTAGGATGTCGTCCACATACCGCTTGTACAACGTAGCTTCACCAATGCTGGCAGTAACTTGTCTTTCTATCAGGCCGAGAAAAATATCTGCTAATACTGGTCCAAGAGGGCTACCCATGGCGACGCCGTCGACCTGTTTATAAGCAGTGCCCTCAAACTCGAACCGTATATTTTCTGTGCATAGTAGAATCATATCCCTCAAATACTCCAACGGCAGGCCAACATACATGTTTTGACTCGCAATGAAATCACACAAATTGTCAACTGTCTCACGCAGAGGCACGTTTGTGAATAGGGAGTCGACGTCTATTGAGTACATGTGCTCCGCACCCAGCGACATGTGTTCCACTGTCTCTACTAATTCAAAGGAATCCTTTAGGCAATACGTGGCCAGGAGTTTGTGTACCGGCTCCAACATTTTCGCTAGCCACCGCGCAACGTTGTGGTATGGTGAGTTGTTCATACACATAATCGGGCGCAGTGGGTTCCCTGCCTTGTGTAATTTGGGAGCGCCCCTCATTCTGGGTGTCTGAGTGCCGGTCGGTTTCAACCGCCTGTATTGCGAGTCACTGAGGTAACCATGTAGTAAAAGAATCTGCAGTTTCCTCGCCACTTGCTTCTCGACCAAGATGTTGTTTTCTGGTGTCTTGTCTAACTGGAACTTCCTTCTGTCCCCCAAAATAGATTCCATCTTTGCAATGTAGTCAGTTCGGTCCATTATAACAATGCCTGCTCCCTTATTCGGTTGCAGAAACATTACGTGTCCCATTTGTTTTAACTCCTTTATCGCCATATAGTGTTCGGCTTTCAGACAGCAACTATTGAGACATTCAATTAGGTTACCGTGGTCTTGATTTTTACATTTTGATTGGTGTGCCAACTTTTTCCCCTGTATATAACTGTTCATTAGTCCCGCTTGTATTGTGTTTGCGACTGAAGAGAACAATCGAAATGTTAACATATCGCAACTTATGTCTTCTCACTGCTCTGACGAAATGGCTGAAGGGGACCCACTGTTATACCAAATGTGTTGAAGATATTTGACTCACAGCAAACTCTAGAAACATTGATCGAAGCTGGTATAACAACATATGACCAAATATTCGTTTACAACATGTCATTACATACAATACCAAATCCTGTCTGTGCAGCCTAGTAGTCCCTCCCTTTTATTATCTACTCCTGATGGTACAAACATCCGCAAATTTTACATATGAGGTGCACGGGTCTAGGACCCAAGGAAAAATAATCATGATCCGAAATTCTATTACTAAACTTTTCTGTACTGTTATGAAGCGTATTCACTATACAAGTGATAAGAGGCTCGTCACATTCGATCATCCTTGCCTTCGCAGCTTAGCTCATGTCTGGTGGGAACACCGCGTGAGCAATGAGCGTGTTCGACGTCGCGTATTTGGTGCAGGAAGAGCGAGTGAACCGCTCAGCACTATTATATCACGCACCAGGCTCCGATGGCTGGGCCACATGTTGCGCATGCCAGCATACCGACTCCCGCGACGTGCATTGTGGGTGCGGTTGAAAGAGGAGGAGGGGAGGCCAAGTGATGACTTGGTCGAGAGAAATGAAAACCCTCACTTCGAAGTTGGCGTCGGTTGGTACATCCCGACTGCCTGGCTGGGGTCCTAAGGACGGTGAACACGTTTGGTTGGACACACTTGCTGATATGGCCTGGAGCCGGCCTTAATGTCGTTTGTGTTGTGAGTTCCTTTGTCCATCCCCCTCCTGCTTTGCATCCCCTCCAATCACGATCTCACTTGTTAGGCATAATACGACTGTCTTTTACGGCAGCCAGCTGTTATCTCTCCGGTACGATGTCCATCCGTTACTGGGGACTCAGCGGGCGTGCCACTGTTTTTTTTTTCTTTTCTTGTCTTTTGTATTGCGGCACAATAGCTGAAGTGTTTTCCACCTCCATTTAACGTGTAATGATGATGATGATGATACAAGTGATCGCTCCCACTTATGGGGCCGTGTACCGTTTGTCGGTAAATATACAAATTTATTTATTTGGGTTATGCGGACGATATCCTCTTGCTTTTCGACCATGTTGCGACGGCACAATCAACGCTGAATAGCCTGTCCAGTGTAGTCCCATTATTTGGTATGCACTTCGCACCTTCAAAGTGCAGTGTTGCTGCAGGACCACTAGCCACTTGAAGACCCCTTGACGCTTGCTAACGAGAAACTCGAGGTGGTTGATCAATTCACTTATCTTGGCAGCTGCATCAGCAACGATGGGCACATAGAAACTGACCTCAGCTCACGCGTTGCAAAGGCCAGAGCTGCCTTCTTGAACCTGCAGCATCTTTGGCGACAGAAGAGAATTTCCCTCCGTTTGTAAGGCCGTGTATCCAAGGCCACAGTAAGGGCCGTTCTGCTCTATGGTAGTGAGACCTGGCCCCTTCGGTCTGAAGATCTGAGGCGCCTTCAAATCTTTGATAATCGTTGTCTGCGAAATATTGCTGGTATCGGATGGCATGAGCTTGTCCGCAACGATAATGTGCATAGGCGAGTACTAGGTGGGGTTAATCATGCTAGCTCCCTAGATCAACAGATAGCACTGAATAAGTTGCGTTGGCTCGGGCCCGTGCTACGTATGCCTGGTCACCGCTTACCTAGGAGGGCCTTGTTTAGTCTACCAGGTGTAGGGTAACGCAAGGCTCGAGGTGGACAGAAGTTGACTTGGCAGCGGGAAATGAAGTTACTGACGATCAAACTGGGTGCCGTTGGTCCGTCTTGCCTTCCGGGCTGGAGTCCACATGACTCGCCTTGTGCTTGGCTCGAGGCTTCACAGGACATGCAACGGACACCAATGGCGCTTTTGCTGCCATCTCCTAATCGGATTGCATGTTTAAAGTGTGTTTGTTGCTGAGTTATCTGCGGGGTAATGGCTGATTATGACGCGTGGCAGTGAAAGCCGCAGAGAAGTTGTCTCGCCGATGCCGCCTTATCTTTGTACGATAGCCAGCTGTTTTTGACGGTATGTTGTCTACACAAGGTGTAGGCGCCTTGACCCTGAGTGTTTGCTTAGGGCATTAAGGTTTTCAGGTAAGTCCCCCTTCTCTCCCTCTTATTCTTTATAGGTCATCATGGTTGTATGGCGGCGAAGCATCTGTTCAAATGTCTGATATACTGCTGTTGGTGTTGTTGTTCGTTCACTTCTCATGTACGTCCGATTCTTGAGTATGGACTGTCCGTTGTTTATCCTCTTTCCAACTTTGAACGCAACTTGATTGCGAAAGTTCAGCGGGGAGGATCTAAATCCATTATGGAATTACGAAAACTGCCTTGCTCACACCGTCTTCAGCGCCTGAAATTGTTATCCCTAGCCTATCGTCGAGATCACGGGGATTTGATTTTCACACGACGTATCGTTAGAGGTGAACTTGGCGCTGAACTACAGAATTTCTTTCCACTCAGTTCTTTCAGTTCGACTCAGGGTCACCATTTAAATTGTTTAAACAAAGGAGACTTCGGGCCCGTTGTGACGTCACTGTCTACCAAAGTAGTGAACGAGTGGAACAATCTACTTGTGTATGTCGTTGATGTTCAGTCGGGGGAATGTTTCTAATCTCGATTCAATTCTTACCTTTGAGTAAGCTCGGATCTTGTTGCTTCTAGTGTCAATGCAGTGGTTCCATTGGTACCGACTTGCAATGTCCACCTTGATCCCTGTGACGAACGGGAGGCGATGGAGCTGACAAAGGATTTTTCCTTCTGCTCTCTACATTCCAATGACCCAATGAGCTTTGAGCACAAGTACTGCTCATAGTGGAGTTCCCCAGAGTCCGGTCATTAGTGGTTTGCTGTTTTTGGTTGATAATTGACTTTGCCCCTTTGCTTGAGGACCCCTTTTGCTGATAATTATCCATGAATGTTGTGATTGAGAACACTGTGAGTACTACGCGGTAACTCGATTTTTTGGCGTGCCATACTGATCGAGCTTTTCAGCTGAAATAACTTAGAAAACGGTGTTTGAATAAACACTTGAAACGAGATTTGACCATTGTTAAATTTCTTCTGATCCAAGATATCTTGGATCGATTAAGGGGATACTGGTCAACGCGTCTTTGGCGCCTACTGGTAATTTTTCCGGTTGTTCTCAGTTTTAATCCCGTTTTGCACCCTGATTTTGCTTTTTTATTGCAGTCCTTTTACTATTGTATACGTGTTGTAATTCTGCTCTGTTTTCCACATGAACATGGCTGTCTCGCCAAACACCGAGGCGGATGGACCCCTGGGGTCTTCATTTGATGAACCTAGTGCAGTTTGCGGACAGTCTAACTGTGCAGAGCCAGTAACATTTGTCTGGCGGTATGCAGTGTGATATCTGCTGTCGGCCTACAAGCAGACCAGTACAAAATGCTGTCATCCAGCGTTCACTTCTTTTCAGCTGTGCTGAATGCTGCGCTCAGAGATCGACGCGCCCGGCTATCACCGGTGCTAAACTTTCAGCGCTGGCTTCAAGGTTTGCAGGTGTTGAGAAGGCGATAGCCAAGCTCGCCTCTATTTCCTCCCTCGATGCGAAAATGTATTCGGTTTTGAAATTTCTGAATACTGCGATTGAGGACACTGAAATAGACGACAACATTGCTGACGATCCATCCTCCGGGGTCTGTCACTCGGTTAAGAAGTCGCACATCCTACCGGACACTCCACGCATCATTGCTGACTCTCCTCATGAGCCAGTCAAAATGAAGAAAAATAGGGTGCGGGAATACGAGAAGCCCTCTACTAAACCCAGAAAATTAGTTGCCACAGCATCGAGGAAGATGTTTTCTTTGGCAGTCGTAAAGTCATCTGACGGTTGTGCACAGGAAAACATTCCGAAGATACTGACCGTCTCGACTGCCACTGAACCAGCCCGTTCTGACGAAGTGTTGGTAACTGCTCAATGCGACACTAGGTCAACGGCCCCTGCTCCCGTGAGCCAAAAGAAGCGGACTAAATCTGCCCGTAAAACTTCGAAAGGGCTTGTAGACCCAGGAGCTAGTAAGATGCCGGCAATAGAGCGGAAAACCTACTCTACCGTTGCTTCGACGTCGTTTGCGGAGACAGGGATAGTCCCACCGCCAGTGGTGAAAACAGCTGGTATAAGTGTCGAATCCAAGTCACGTGGGGTACACACTCCCCGTCTTTCCGACTCTTTCACGGATAGTAGCATTATATTCCGTAACGTTACTGAGTCTGCGGCTGCTCTCCCAAGGGAACGCATTTTAGATGACATCAAGTGGCTCAAACTGGGCGTCACCAAGCTGCTTCCACCTGACTTCCCTGGTGTCACTGTCAGAAAGCTGACCAGATGGGGAAACGTCCCCATCGGTACGCCAAATCCGCTACCCCGACTACTTCGCGTGCTTCTTTCTACCCCGGAGGAACGCAAATCATTACTGCGGTTTGCATTCAAACTTAAGGATAGTGGTATCAGCGTTCAGCCGGACTTTACACTAGCAGATAGATTGAAAGTAAAGGAAGCTATCAAATATATCAAAACTAGACGGGCGGCTGGTGAGCAAGGTCTCCGTCTGGTGGGTTTTCGGGTGGCCAGCCGGAAGTTATTTTCCGCCCTATCAGAACCCATCCTGATGACGTACGACCCAGGGATGATTATGCCGACTTCTTTGAGGTAGTACTTGGCAACATGCGTAGCCTAAGGAATAAGGTGCATAAGTTGGGTCAGCTTGTAAGCAAATCTCGTCCAGACATACTTGCTTTCACTGAAATGTGATTGTCTCCAAATATCACGGACGGTGAGGTATGTTTACCTGGTTACGCGCTGCTTAGAACTGATCGCTTCGTTGGTCTTCAAGATGAAGGCGTTGTACTTTATGTGTGCTGTAAGTTGTGTGTTGAGGACTTGAGTCAGTCATCGGATCAGACTGTTTAAGCCCTATCGGCTGTTGTGTACACTTCCTCTACCCAGTTTACAATTGTAGTGATATACAAGAGTCCTGGAAGTTTCTCCAGGATTGATATTGACTTTATTCGCATTCAATTCGCGGATAAGTGTTTAGTTCTAGGGGATTTCAACCTCCCAGAACACTGTTGGGCCGCTCTTTCGTGCAGTTCGGCGTCAGGAACATTCGGTGCAGACTTTCTTGAGCTAAATCTTTAAGTGTCTTTGCACGACTTCGTGGACTTTCCCACTAGGTATGTGGACAACGAGATACCATCTTCTTTAGATCTTGTTTTCGCTAAGTCTCTCGACTTCGTAACTGACGTTTCGTACGGTGCACCTCTAGGGTCCAGCGATCACGGTGTGCTCTTTCAAGGCATCAACAGACCGCTGTTGAATTACTTCCGAATATTTGGCGGGCAAACTAGTGCAATGCGAGCTAAGGCTTGAATTCTGAACTGTGAGCTCTCGATGGCCGACTCTGTGCAGTTAGCCGGGATAAATTTAAGGCATATCTTACTGAGGTTTCCACTCCCTATATTCCACGCATGAGGAAAAGTGGGTTACGGGCACGGCCTCCATGGATAGATACCACATGCAAGTACCTACTCCAGAAATGGTCTAGATGCTGGCGAACCTACCAATCAGCTCCATTAGCCAGTACCTGCGACAGTTATCGAAAGATTAGAAATGTGTAAGCAGCATCTCCGAACTGTTCGTCTCCAGTATGAGCAAGGTTTAGCGGACTCGGCCGCAGCTAATCCCAAGAAGTTTTTTGCTTACGTTAAAAGACGCAGCGGGGTAAAACTGTCTATACCAGCGTTATTGCGATCAGACGCGACCCGTACGCAAACTGACTATGACAAGGCCTGTATACTTAGTGACTGGGGTCTTTGCTCGGGAGACCTCTTTACCATAAGTTGCATTGATTTCAAGCGTTTCAGAGGATTCTTGCTTAGCTGAGTTTAACACAACGGAGACTCAGGTCTTCGTGCAAGGCATTAATCTCCCTAAAGCTTCCGGTCCTGATTCAATTCATCCGAAGCTGTTGCACGAATTGGCCACGGAGCTGAGTGATCTTCTCACATGCGTGTTTTCCAAATCGCTTGACAGCTACATTTTACCTTCAGAATGGGAGGCAATCATCTGTCCGATTTTTAAGGGCAGTGACAGCCCGCAAACTACGAACCTGTCAGTTCGACAAGCGTAGTAGTCAAGTTGTTTGAAAACATGGTAATTGATTCGGTGGAAGACCGCCTGAATGGATTTAACCTTCTCAATGTTGCGCAACATGGATTCCGCAAGGGATTTTCATTTCAGACTAATCTACTTGTAGCTCGTGAAAGTTGGGCCGAAGCGGTAGACAGTGGCCACGCTGTAGACGTGCTATTCGTGGACTTTTCGAAAGCTTTTGACACTGTTCCTCATCTCCGACTCGCACTAAACTTGAGATCTTACGGTATATTTGGTCGCGCCCTTCAATTGTTGTCTGCTTTCCTTGAAGGGAGGGAACAGTGCGTATGGGTGGGGCGTAGCCCTTCGCTCAGGCAAGCTGTCCTTAGTGACGTCCCGCAAGGCTCGATATTGGGGCCATTGGTGTTCGCGATCTATGTAAATGACTTACCGGCGGAGCTAGGAGTGTCACCACTGTTTGCTGACGACCTTAAGCTGTGGAATATTGTGGATATCCCGGGGGTTTTTGTGGCAATTCAGGGTGTCTTGGATAGGCTCTGGGAATGGTCTACCTTATGGTTGATGCCCATAAATAGGGCCAGGTGCTCTGTTCTCCGAATGGGAACTGCTAATCCTCCCACTGGATATGTTGTCGGCGGTGGTGAACTCCCTGTGGCCACTCAGCAGGTTGATTTAAGAGTCGTACACGCATCAGCTCTTCATTCTCGCGACAATTGGAAGGAAGCTGCTTGTCGGGGTTTCGTATGATGTGGTTTATCCGCCGCTCTTTCGGAATCTTAACGTCCAATTTGTTTTTGAAGCTATTCTCGGTATTCGTTCGACCCCACCTGGAATATTGTATCCAGACTTGCCCCCCCCCATGTTTTAACCGAGACAAAATGATTTTGGAGAGGGTGTTACGAGTGCGCACTCGGTTCATGCGGGGTCTACGGGGACAGACGTATCCTGAACGCTTGCTCAGTTTGGGGATGTACTCAATGCACTACCGAAAGATAGAAGGGGACCTGATTCTCACTTATCTTATTTTGACGGGTAAGATCGGCGCGGACTTGTCAGGGCTATTTAGTCCCGCTACGTTACCTAATCTCCGCGATGCCCCACTGAAACTGCATAAACCACAGTCTACTAGGATTAGGACGGAAACTCGTCTATCGCGCCGAGTTATAGATTGCTGGGATTCGCTTCAGATCACGTGGTTAGGGAACCTACGGTTAAGGGTTTTGCGCGCCAGATCGATGCTCTTGGGTGGCAACACTAAACCTTTTTCCTAACTGACTCACCTTCCTTTTTCACTTATTTTTTCATTGACTCAAATATCTTGGTATTCTATTTGTCTAGCTCTTTCTCTTCTTGCCCTCTGAGTTTACCTTTTTATCTTACTTCAAGTAACCGGCCAAGCTAAGGCAAGATACGTGGGCATTAATTGTTTGGACAGGGTATGAGGCCATTTTTGCTTTAGTCTTATCTGTATTTCAAAGCCTGCCAGCTCCTGGTTCAATGACCCGCTGAAGAAGGATCACTCATGCGATTGTCCAATTATTCCAGTCCCACTTGAACTTGAACTTGTTAGCAAGGGCGACAGTGCTACGCTATCTGAAAATTTGGTTACTGTTACCGTACCACCAAGTCTTTGAACTCTTCCACGGCTCTCCTGGTGTACAGACGCGGACACCCGTTTAGAAGTGATCAGTTTGACATAGCAGCCGAGTATGACGCAACTCGCTTACGACTTTTTTCGTATTGCACTTTTTATTAGTTGGGGACCTCGAGGTGGTCTGCATCAGCGGTTTTAGATTCTATCAGATCTGGTACAATCAACAAGTCATTTACGCTTTTGCATTTGTTCCCTTATTTACAGTCCGCAACTACCTCCGGTGGTCTTATTTCTTTCTTATTATTTTGATGCAACGGTTGTTCAGCCGACTAGATTGTTGGGCTCCTAGTATGGCTTTTAGCCATCTCGTGCGATCGATCACCGGCTCACAACGGATGC